AATATATGGTTAGTCACCACCATTGCATTTGCCTTATTTGCCTGGTGAATATGAGAATGACATTGTAGACAGGAGTTTGACTTAAAGAGAGGAGATAATTAAGGAGTTAAAATTTCAGATACAAAGGTCTCAAAATAGGAAGCAACGGGCTAATAAGAAAAGGTCAGACAAAGTTTTCCAGATAGGAGATTGGGTTTATTTGAAGTTGCAAAACTACAGGCAGACTTCTGTGGCTACTAGACCCAACCAAAAGCTAGCACCGAAGTACTATGGTCCATACATAATCACTGATACAGTAGGAAAAGTAGTTTATATACTGCTATCACCTACAAACTCTCATATTTACAATGTCTTTCATGTGAGTCAACTAAAAAGGTCTTATGATCATACAACTACTGCTGAAATTCCAGCATTTTTCTATGATTCTAGTATGTCTAAGCTCCCTGAAGATATTATTCAAAGAAGACTGGTCATGAAGAGGAAAGGGCTAGCAGATGTTGAACTCCTAATAAAGTGGCAAGGTTTGCCAGCAAAGAATGACACTTGGATGTTTGCTTCAAACTTTAAACAATAGTTTCCTGAATTTCATCTTTGAGGACAAAGATGTTAAGGGAGGGTGTCTTGATATAGTAATTAGAATATCAAGATGATGATATCAGCAAGTTGTTATCTCAGTTGTTAGATAATTAAGTAGTTGTAGCCGTTATATGTTAGTTGATACACATGTTATAAATATGGTAAAAGTGAGCTGTAAATGATCAAAATAATATCATCAATGTCTATTATCTTCTTCCTATGTCTGTACATTCCATTTTTCCTCCATCTTCAAACTTTCTTCGACTAGTTTTCTCATATTACAACTAGACCAAGTAGTTTGACTTGTAGAATCGGTTATCTCAATAATCCATTCTACATCACATCATGATCAGTGAAGGAGAAGGCCACACCATCAGCGAACCTCCAGGAGCGTGGAAGGCAGCTACAGAATGACACTCGACACCGGAGTAGTATGACGATTGACGGTGACTTCCCCATTCCTCTTACCCGGCGTTTCTGACAAAGGAGATAAGTATTGTTGCTTCTGTTTATTTGACTAACGGGCTGGACCTTTTTATTTTAAGTTGGGTTGGGTTTTGCTTTATTAGTGTTCTAGGCTAATAATATCAATTATTATTATTATTATTATAATCTTGCAAAAAATGATATGTTATCTATTATTATTATTATTATTATTATTATTATTATTATTATTATTATTATTATTATTATTATTATAGCAAAATGGATCTTCCCTTTTTAGGTACACCTTATCAATTTATTACGTAGATAACAAAGAGAGATACATGATAGGGAGGACGTGACACCTAATTACGAATCTTCCTTTGCAAGTTGCCGCCAATCAAATATTATAGTCGTGCACATTAACCAAAGAATCAAGTGAAATGCTGAAAATGGAAAAAAAAAGAAGGAAAATTCTTAGTGTACATGAGTTGTACACAAAACCCCCCTAGTTGCCTGTGTGCACAGACAATTTGTTCAAAAGGGGGAGAACTTGATGTTAAATTGCATGTGTACACAAACAATGTACACAGGCTAAGGACCTGGTTCCACGGAAAGGAGGACAGTTCCTGACTAACTTTGATAATTCTGTCCAGAATTTTGTATCACTCATTCCAGAATCTTTTTATGTACAAGATGGTGACTGTGCATGGTGGATTGAATCGGGGGCTACGAGCCATGTGTGTAAGGATAAAGGATGGTTTGAAGACCTAGAACTAGTGGAGTTCGGTTCCTTCTTACGCATGGGAGACTTGATGTTTTAAAGAACGTTTAAAATCCTTCCAAAAGGGTGGAAGTTTGTCAATTATCCTCGACACGGCATAGGATTCATCAACACCTATCTTGTGGAGTTTAAATTGACCAAGAACACGAAGGAGTTCATTGTATTGTTCCATAACCGGCCTTGAGACAACCATTTTAGAATTTTTAAAATCACTCACCAAGAACTTCTTACTAGAAGCATCCTCGGCGATGCATTTTGACTCAAGAGAATTCCACAATTCCTTCGCACTCTCAACGTTTTGGTAAATATCAAATAACGCATCAGACATACTGTTAAGAATGTGGCCTCTACATATGTAGTCGTCGTTCTCCCACTTGTTACGCCTCCTCATTTGTTCCAAGGTTTCATCCTCCATCGCGTCCGGCATTGGAGTGCTCAACACGTACACGGCCTTCAAAGTGGTGAGAAGGAAGTGCATCTTCTTTTGCCATCTACGGAAATCGTTCCCTTGAAACTTGTCCAATTTGTTGAACTTAGACGTCATCTCTTCCACGGTACTCATGATTATTACAAAGAAAATATCAATTCGATTGTTGGGGTATCACGTAGGGGGTGATAATCGCGTACTTGGATTGCTTAAGGATCGTGTAAGTTCACTTTCCGAATTGATATTTCGTCCTTATGCCTGGGTTACAAGAAATTCAATCTAGGATAATTCTTAAGGACACTCTAGAACTTAGGCACAAGAACTAGAGCCAAACTAGTGAGTATATGGATTGTTTTGCTTTAATTTGAGTGCCAAAGTGATGAAGATACGTTGGATATGATTCATCTCCCTCCTCCGTATGAAATATGGTGATATATATCCATATTAACCGTCCTAGGTAGGTGCAACACATTTAAGAATAACTTTGGCAGTTTTTGGGAAATTGCTGGAAACTGCCCAACCGTTCTAGAACTCGATCTAGAACCACAGAGCTGGTCTACTGAAAGTTATACCTCGAGTTCCACTAACGTAGACAATTTGGAATTAAAGTAGTTCTTATATACAAGTGTGCACTCCACACCTACTAACTTGTATTAGATCATAGTTCTAATTCACATTGGCACTCATGTCATTTTCAATTACACAAAATGGCCGGTGACACTAAAATCACTAACAAAAACTAGGTATCAAACTTTGTATTTGTTTAGTGTTGTTAGTTATGTTTCGATCCTCACTCTACTCTTTTGAATAGTTTATTTTACTTTTACTATATATTTGAAAAAAATCATATGTGGAGTATTATATAGTGTTAACACCGTCCAAGGTGACTAATTATGGAGTGTTATACCATTTCAAGAATGCATTATAGCAAAATTCATTTTGATCATTGTGTTTTTCTATCTTTTCCTGGCCAAAACTTTCGAGTTCAAGAAACTTAACACCGATATATAATTATGGAGTATTGTACCATTTCAAGAATGCATCAAACTTAACATGACGACTAATATAGACACGACTAGTCAGGGGCGGATACACATAGTCTTTATGGGAGGCAACTGCCCCCAACAAAGGTCCAATTTTGCCTTGGAGCACATTAGAAAAATTAACAAGACAAGGAATTTGCCCCCAATTAAAAAAAAAAATACTTCCTCCGTTCCCTTTTAATTGCAACCGTCAACATTTCACGTTTGCCAACACACAAGTTTGACCATTAATATCTTTCATTCCTTATTAGTAAAAAATTTAAAAAAATCATATTTTGAAAATTTAGAATGAGAAGAATTTAATACTATTTTTAAAAAAATTAATTTATAATACATTAATGAATAAAATATAGTCAAAGTAGAAAATGTGAATAGTGCAAAAAGTCCAATGTTGCGATTAAAAAAGAACGGAGGATAGTATATCGTTGCCCCCTATAAGTTATTGAGCAGATCAAATTACACAAAGAGAGGATATCGATCACGTTTGCCCCGATTTAGCGTTATAGCAGAAGAGTTAGAACAAATTTTAATTCATTTAGATAGTAGCTGATCCAGAGAGGAAATGACTGTAGGGTGTGTTTCGGAAAATAAAGAAAAATTAATTAAAAGAAGTTAATTAAAATGACAAAGAAAACAAGAAAGGAGATGGAGCAGAAATTTGTCAAAGCTCGTGCTACGCACGATGTCCTTAAAACGTATTTGTTGCCTCCCACGGTGCTAGGAGCGTTGCAACAATGGTTTCCCAGGATACGATGACAACGAACTAATGTTTGAGCACACAAACAAGAGTTCCAACGAACGAGAACAAAGTATGAACACTCAGAAATTTTCAGAAGGACTGGAGGTGTTTTTAGCTCTAAAATACGTGAAGGATGTGTATAAACTTGTGTGTTGTTGTAAATCACCTGTCAGCCATTATATAGGAGGATTTGTTGTGTGAAAATAGTGAGTTAATGGACCTGAACGTTGGACATCAATGACCAGTCCGTTGGGCATTGAATCGTCCATGAACTGTCCATTTAACGCTGCATTAAAAGATATAAACGTTGGGCATTTATTGCTGTAACGGTTCAGAAGCCATCAGAAGACCCCTACGTAGTTCTGCCCGAAGGCCATCAGAACTGGAGCAGTTCTGATGCGCGATCATCAGAACCGGAGCATCTATGCCCGAAGGCCATCAGAACTGGAGCAGTTCTGATGCGCGGTCATCAGAACCGGAGCATCTCTGCCCGAAGGCCATCAGAACTGGAGCAGTTCTGATGCGCGGTCATCAGAACCGGAGCACCTCTGGTCGTGGCCTTCTGCCCGGAGCAATTCTGCTAACTGGGAAAAATATACGTTTCGGGAAGAAAACAAAAATTACCCGTATCTCTTGAGAGATGGATTTTTGGACGACATTCGTGTCCGCAGGTCGCCCGCGCACGCAAGTCGCGGTTTTTCTTCTCCGAATTCGGGATTTGATTTGCACCCCCCCCCCCCCCTGCGCGCGTGGAGAGAGCCTTTACCCTTAAGAATCTTAACTCCATAAGGGGGGAGTCCCTTTATAAGGGGTAGCAAATCCCTTGGGTTTTCCGGTGTGGGAAATTAACACACTAGAAACCCATCCTTTTTCCCTTCTAACGGGTAAACTTTGAAAAGCGATTTCTCATTCACCCGTTATCCGTTTTGAGCGTACCATATATCGAATTGTAGCCCTTAACAAGGACAATCCGAAACCACTTTGACCCGACCCAAATCGGAAGTGGACCCCACTCAAAAAATTGCCCCAAAATAGCCATTTAATGCAATTTTTCACACATTTTTCCAACAATGACAAACAACTATCCAATTGCGAAACACCAAGAAGTTAATAAACCTATAAGACATTGTTCAAAAGTGCAATTCCTAAGACATTGTTCTCCGCTTCAAAGCTCAAATTTATCATGTATTGTATATCAAACTATCAAATACGGACTATCATATACTTTAAGAAATTAGACATCTATTAATATATAAAGAGACAGTTTTTTGTGAATTGGTTTTCCCCCTCAAAAGTGTCAACATCATGCTTTGGTGGTTTTTTGTTCATCAAAAATTAAATGCAAAAATAAATTAAAAATATCAAATTTCTTTTGTGTGGTTAAGATTGGTAGTTGGTGAGAGTTTATTAAAGTACAATGCTCCTATTGGTTCAACCGGGTGGGCAGCTCTACTAATATTTGGTGTCTTACAATTGGTCCAAAAAAAGGTTGGGATTGCTCACATATGTATACAATCGGCATGCAGTATTAAAATGGTTGGTTGGTGTGTTCTTATTGGTCAAAAGTGAGGTGGGGACTGTAGACTTAAAATGGTTGGGTCGGAAGTATTTTTGGTGAAAATACTGGCTGTGTTCTTATTGGCTAAATCAGAGGTGGGCACTGTTCCCAGTACATAGGTCGGACATGTGAACGTCTTCTTATTAGTCAAAAAATATATACCAATTGTTCCCTGACAAGGTATTCAGTTGTATGGAAACCAGCTGGCTGCACTTGCTCCTCACTTGCCCCTGCAACATTCACAGTATGACTATAAATACCTCTTATTTGTGGCGAAATGTTTCTCACAAATCAGCAGAAACTGCAGAGTAAGTGTAAACTCTGTAATTTCTCAATAGTCAAGAATGCATATACAAAATATATTTTTGCATAGATCTATTGTTCCTCCGAATTGATATAATTTTTCATATGTTTTTTCAGGCAAGAACAATACAAGCCCAGATACTGGTCAGAGAAGTTTGTTGAAGATGGGCATTTGCAGAGAAATTTATAAAACGGAAACCATTCAAAGAAATTACGTTTGCAGTTTTTGCATAGAAAAAAAAACATCAATACCCACCTTCTAAATAAAATTCAGATATACATCCAAATTGGCATTCTAAGAACGAAAAACATGCAATAAGTTTAGAAGGCAACAAATCTGTGATTTGTGATGAAAAAATTATAAAAGAAACTATTACGTCCCTATACTGATTTAAATGCATTTTCTCTTAATAGTAGAAGATTTGTGAAGTTAATAAATATATATCACCTAATATATATGGGTACTTATTTTTATCGAACTGTACAACCACACAAAAAATTACGGCAGAGTATGTGTTAACATGGTAGGTGTAATCACGACGGAGTACGGCTTATGAAAGAGTAATACTTCGTATGTGTTATGACTTATGAGTGAGTAGTGTGTGTTATCAATAATATATAGTAGAGGGCTTGATTAATTTAATTTGGGTTTGTTTTCTTAGCATATATAGCTATATTATTATATAGAAAGATATTTGTACAAAATTTAATTTTTTTAATACTGATTTAAATGTAAGTATTACAAAAGATAGCACCCCTAAATACAAAAAGGGGAAGATTTGGGAAATTGTTATGATTAAGAAATACTTTTAAACTTATAACATGTAATAAGCTTGAAGGGGTAAAAGGCTAAAAGGTTTGTTACGTTGTTGGTAAGAGTATTTTTTTTTTGGGTAAAAGTTGGTAAGAGTATTTGATTGTTTGAACCTTTAAATGGAAGGTCCTTCAAAATTAATATTTACAATAATAGTCCGTATTTATCTATTCAAAAATTGAAAAAGTGCCATAGGATCAATCCCTTCACTGAGTGTTTATTAGTCTCCCTTAATTTTATTTTAAACCCAAATTTGCTGAAACGTTAAAACTTATAAAAATGCACATGCATAGCTATATCTTCTCACACTATTCTGTTGTCAATTCATTTTAATGTATTTAAAATACACGCCATATTATTTAAGTACATTATTTCCAAAGTGCAAAACGTTTGGTAATCACCCATATTCTAAGTTTGTAAACATAGACGCTAGAGGCGATTGACTACGTATTTCACCCAGCAAAGACTTCAAATTGACAAAATCGATAACATCCTAAAATTTATTTCTTACTCTTCTTACATATATTAATTATTTTAGTTTCTTTTACAGATTCATAAATAGGGAGTATATATTTGGACTGTTCTTCGTATGTTGAGTTTAATCCAACACGATATAGTAAATATATGTATGAACACTCAGTTTTTACGTGGAAACCCGAAAGGGAGAAAACCACGGGACTTTTTAGGCTAATGTCCAAGCCCCCTCTTTCTCATTAGGACTCTCCTCACCGTTACATTGTACAAGCTCCCATTAATGGAGTATTTGAGCTATTCTACAGGAAGAAGGAAGAAGGAAGAAGGAAGGGATCCCTAATATGGAGGGAAACTCCCATATTTATAGAGAATAGGGGAAGGGGATGCTCTCCACCCTAATGGGCCGCATGGGCCGGAGTGGGCCCAAATGGCTAAAGTGGGCCGGATGGGCCGAAATGGGCCTAGCTGCTCGGGCTCCGTACTACGTAAAGCCTTGGACTCCTGAACAGTAATAGGCCGGGATAATATATCCCAACACAAGTCCCCCAGTTTCTTGAGTAGTGAGCTCGCGAATCTGCTCGAGAAAATATACTCTGCCTGCGCTCTTCCTCTGTCTTGCTGGAAACTGTGTCTTCACATAATCATAATATATGAGTGAGTGTCTGCACTCCTGAACGTAATCTGCCGGTGAGGCACCCCCCTTCTCAACAGGGTCGGGCGAAGGGTGCTCCTCCACGGGAACACTCCCCCTGAATGCATCAGGCGAGAGTAAAGGACTCTGACTCGAGCTTTCCAACGGAGAAGCTTAGAGGTCCATGCATCTATAAACCGACGTCGCGGTACTGTCAAAACACGATGCTCATGTGTATGTATGAATGTATGAGGTATGATGCATGAATGCATGAATGCATGTAATGTATGGGTGCAATGTATGGGAGAAGGAATGTGAGATGTGATGGAAAGCGGTGGCTCTCATCGATTACCCGGGCATGTCAGCGCCGAGAGGCAGACGTGCTGCATAAGAGATGTTCGTCGCCATCCTGGACGGGATGGGCGAGCCGAACATGAGACAGACACGATGGCACAGAGGCGCTGATCGTGCTGCATAAGAGATGTTCGTCGCCATCCTGGAAGGGATGGGCGAGCCGAACATGAGCCAGACACGATGGCACAGAGGCGCTGATCGTGCTGCATAAGACGTTCGTCGCCACCCCTGGAAGGAATGGGCGATCCGAACGTGAGCTGGGTACGATGGCGCTGAGGGGCCGATCGTACTGCATAAGACGGTCGTCGCCATCCTGGAGGGAATGGGCGATCCGAACCGTGAATCAGGACACGATGGCGCTGAGGGGCCGATCGTGATGCATAAGACGTTCGTCGCCACCCTGGAAGGGATGGACGAGCTGAACGTGAGCTGGGTATGATGGCGCTGAGGGGCCGATCGTACTGCATAAGACGGTCGTCGCCATCCTGGAGGGAATGGGCGATCCGAACCGTGAATCAGGACACGATGGCGCTGAGGGGCCGATCGTGATGCATAAGACGTTCGTCGCCACCCTGGAAGGGATGGACGAGCCGAACATGAGCTGGGTACGATGGCGCTGAGGGGCCGATCGTACTGCATAAGATGGTCGTCGCCATCCTGGAGGGAATGGGCGATCCGAACCGTGAATCTGGACACGATGGCGCTGAGGGGCCGATCGTGATGCATAAGACGTTCGTCGCCACCCTGGAAGGGATGGACGATCCGAACGTGAGCTGGGTACGATGGCGCTGAGGGGCCGATCGTACTGCATAAGACGGTCGTCGCCATCCTGGAGGGAAATGGGCGATCCGAACCGTGAATCAGGACATGATGGCGCTGAGGGGCCGATCGTGATGCATAAGACGTTCATCGCCACCCTGGAAGGGATGGACGAGCCGAACGTGAGCTGGGTACGATGGCGCTGAGGGGCCGATCGTACTGCATAAGACGGTCGTCGCCATCCTGGAGGGAAATGGGCGATCCGAACCGTGAATCAGGACACGATGGCGCTGAGGGGCCGATCGTGATGCATAAGACGTTCATCGCCACCCTGGAAGGGATGGACGAGCCGAACGTGAGCTGGGTACGATGGCGCTGAGGGGCCGATCGTACTGCATAAGACGGTCGTCGCCATCCTGGAGGGAAATGGGCGATCCGAACCGTGAATCTGGACACGATGGCGCTGAGGGGCCGATCGTGACGCATAAGACGTTCGTCGCCACCCTGGAAGGGATGGACGAGCCGAACATGAGCTGGTACGATGGCGCTGAGGGGCCGATCGTACTGCATAAGACGGTCGTCGCCATCCTGGAGGGAAATGGGCGATCCGAACCGTGAATCAGGACACGATGGCGCTGAGGGGGCCGATCGTGATGCATAAGACGTTCGTCGCCACCCTGGAAGGGATGGACGAGCCGAACGTGAGCTGGGTACGATGGCGCTGAGGGGCCGATCGTACTGCATAAGACGGTCGTCGCCATCCTGGAGGGAAATGGGCGATCCGAACCGTGAATCTGGACACGATGGCGCTGAGGGGCCGATCGTGATGCATAAGACGTTCGTCGCCACCCTGGAAGGGATGGACGAGCCGAACGTGAGCTGGGTACGATGGCGCTGAGGGGCCGATCGTACTGCATAAGACGGTCGTCGCCATCCTGGAGGGAAATGGGCGATCCGTACCGTGAATCAGGACACGATGGCGCTGAGGGGCCGATCGTGATGCATAAGACGTTCGTCGCCACCCTGGAAGGGAATGGGCGATCCGAACCGTGAATCAGAACACGATGGCGCTGAGGGGCCGATCGTGATGCATAAAAATAGTGATGATCATCTCATGGCCCTCGGCCTCTCGCGGCCCTCGGCCGTGCTGGTGATGTGTCAAATCTCTCCTGATTGGCTGTGAGAAGCCGATCGTCTGCCAGGACTCCATCCGGGAAGGAATGGTGAGCCTGAAATAAATCCGGGCGATGTCCCTCCTACCTGATCTGGGGAGCTAATCGTCGTTCGTCTACCGTATCCGTGGTCCTATGTACGGACCGCTAAGCGGTGTACACTCGGTACGCAACAGACTCCGGTGGAGAACTGGTCCTGCGTGTCTGACCCATGGGGCTGGTCTTCGTTCGTCTACCGTATCCGTGGTCCTATGTACGGACCGCTAAGCGGTGTACACTCGGCACGCAACAGACTCCGGTAAAGAACTGGTTCTTCGTTCTTCCCAAGTCTCGTGAGTACTGGTCTCCTGGTTCCGCAGGAGACGTTTGTCATCCCAACTATGAGAAGAAACAGGTTTATCCACGTCGGGATTCCCTATTCTTCGTTCGTCCCTGTCGTGGTCCTACTAACCTTCTTACTTCGAAGAAGACGTTCGGTCATCCAACGATCGCAAGGAGGAACAGGTTTATCCACGTCGGGATTCCCTATTCTTCGTTCGTCCCTGTCGTGGTCCTACTAACCTTCTTACTTCGAAGAAGACGTTCGGTCATCCAACGATCGCAAGGAGGAACAGGTTTATCCACGTCGGGATTCCCTATTCTTCGTTCGTCCCTGTCGTGGTCCTACTAATCTTCTTACTTCGAAGAAGACGTTCGGTCATCCAACGATCGCAAGGAGGAACCGGTTTATCCACGTCGGGATTCCCTGCTTCGTCGCCTCATGCTCGTGGCCCTACTAGCCTTCTGCTCTGGCAGAAGGTGTTCGTCGAACCACGGGTCATGGGAGGAACTGGTTTATCTTGCCGAGGTTCCCTTTGGTACGTCTAGCCCCCCCCCCCACGTTCCTACTAGCCTCCGCGTCGGGAGACGTTCGTCATACGCGGCGAAGGAAGATCAGGCATACCTCGTCAAGACTCCCTCTCTCATAGGAGCTTCTCTCTCCCCTTCTCCCCATCTTTTTTTTATTTTTTTTTTTTTTCCTTTTTTTTCTTTTTCTTTTTTTTTTCTTTTTTTGTTTTTTTTTTTTGAGGGAGGAAAATACGTTCATCGGTTCTAAGAATGACCACAAGTGATGTCACACATAATGGTGGTGGGATACAAAAACGAATAAAATGACGAGGCGATGGAATAGCTGGTCGTCATGCGATGGCGATGGTCACCCTCCTGGAGGGGAGGGGTGAGCCCGATCGCTAACTCAAGAAGGTCGGCATTGGGAGCCGATAATGATCATAATGTCGCTGAGCAGTCGGTCCTGATAAGGAGATGACAATAGTGTCCGATCAAGCCGATATATCCAAGCAACGGCTCTCATCCACGCAGCGCGGGGATGAAACCGGTCTTCAAAAGATAAATATGTCGTGCCGGGAGGCCGAACATAACATGATAGTGTCGGCAGTAAGAGGCCGACCTGAAAGAATCAAGCAATGGTCCTCGTCCGCGAGGGGCAGGGACAAGGCCGGTCTTCAAAGATAAACACGCCGTGTCGGGAGGCCAGTCGTGATATAATAACATCGACAATGAGAGGCCGATCTGAGAAAACAAGCAACGGCCGTCATCCGCGAGGAGCGGGGATGAAACCGGTCTTCAAATATGGAAAGAACGCCGAGCCGGGAGGCTGGTCGTGATATAACGGTGTCGGCAATGAGAGGCCGATATGAGAAAACAAGCAACGGTCCTCATCCGTGCAGTGCGGGGACGAGGCCGGTCTTCAAATATGGAACACACGCCGTGCCGAGAGGCCGGTCGTGATATCATAGTGTCGGCAATGGGAGGCCGACCTGATGTAAGGATGGTCTCACGGCCCTCGGCCGTGATGGTCTCCTCTAGGCCCTCAGCCTCTGAATGATGGATGATCGTCTCACGGTCCTCCGCCGTGGTAGTCCACTCTAGACCCTCGGCCTCTAGGTGTTCTCTCCTAGGCCATCGGTCTCTGGGGTGGAGATGCTCGTCTCACGGTCCTCAGCCGTGATGGTCTCCTCTTTAGCTGGCCCTGAATGTCTTCAAGACTTGGGCCGAGCGTCTTTTAATCATCTCACTCGAGCGCGTCGAGTGATTTCAACTGCGCAATAAGCATGGTAACGGGCCGCACGGCCCGACAATAAATATGCACACATAACCATCTGCATGGCCTTCTCTCTAACACCCACGATTACCGGCCTATGGGTCATCGTGACCCTCGGCCCGGCTCATCGTGCGGGGTTAATGGACGTAGCAGCTCGCGGCGGGGCCAATTAGCAGCCCGCCGAACGTCACATAGAGATATTCATCGGTCTGTGAGTTTTCACACTCAGACCCAAGTTGGTCGCACTGCCCTCGGAAAAACGAGGTTGAGTGCTTTGGTGCCCTCGGGCCCCATAGGCCACGTTCGGCAATAGTCACTTTGCGCCTAATGGCGTAGATGGTACTAGGGTACGATCGTTGCTCGAGCACTCGGTGCCGTGCGGACTAATGCGTAACCCCCCAAATCAAAACGCGTCATCGGGGCACTACCCTCTGGAGACGCTCAGATCGCTAGTCAAAGCCGATCGAGAGTGGGCTAATCGGGCCCACCAACAATTAAACATTTAATAAAATGTTGGCCGAACTAACTATCACTAGAGCTTCGCTCCGCATCATTTAATTCGGGACATTTTTATCCCTAATAAATAATAGTGATGTACGGGTAGTAATAATAGTATTATCCTACCATAAGTCATTCAGATACGCTCCGTTCACTAATTAAAGCCGATCGCGAGCGGGCCAACGGGCCCACAATAACCCATCATTAATTAAAATGACGGTGAACTCATTATCACTAGAGCTTTACTCATTCGAGTTTGCCCGACATTATTTAATTCCGGGATATTTTAATCCCTCATAAATAATGATGATAACAGATTAACTAATAGCAAGAAAATTACTCTATAGCATCAATAAATAATTGTACCGACTTAAAGTGTGGGCACTTAGCTTTTAAAATAATGGGGACGTTCGCCATAGGAGTTCGGTTGTTCCATGTTGCTAACTTTGATCTAGTCAAAATTGTCCAAGGCCCCCAATTATTCATCCTTCCCATCCGCAAGCTGGCATTTTGGTAGCCTATCCCTATAGTCAACAGGGTAGCAGATAGCTACAGATAGCTACTATAGGTCCCAGGTAGCTTTATCCCTAGGGGTGACGGCCAAGCTTCCTCAGGCAGCATCCACGGCGGAGGGATAGACCGGGAGTGGGGTCGCTAGGACTCCGGCAACGCTCACAAGGCTTCCTCAGGCCATATGGGTGCGTTGGTTCGCGATTTGCCATCCCCGGAGCTCCTGGCAGCCATTAATGGCGGACCTTCTCCTGGGTGTAGTGAAGCTAGGGGAGCAAGGAGGTCGACAAGGACGATACGGCGGCGGCGAGGGGGCCAGCTTCAGCCGCTGGGCGTACTCCGACGGGGGTTGAGATGTCGACGCAGGTGGACGGAGGTGGAAACTCGTCCGTTGATGCGGCGAGGTCTGGAATCGAGGAGGATGGTTTCCGAAGGGCAGCGACCTCCGGCCTAAGGTGCGTGGTGCAGCACAGATAGCCCCGGTGATTCCTGTTGATTCCGCTTCAAATCTGGGATCTCCCAGACCCCAAATTCCAGGATTTTTCTTCTTCTTTTTTGCTGGAATCAGTCCGCTTCGTATGAATTTTTCTCGTAGAAACTCAAGAATAGCAGAATACATGAATCTTTTTGGACAGATTCCCACAGACGGCGCCAGTGTTGAGTTTAATCCAACACGATATAGTAAATATATGTATGAACACTCAGTTTTTACGTGGAAACCCGAAAGGGAGAAAACCACGGGACTTTTTAGGCTAATGTCCAAGCCCCCTCTTTCTCATTAGGACTCTCCTCACCGTTACATTGTACAAGCTCCCATTAATGGAGTATTTGAGCTATTCTACAGGAAGAAGGAAGAAGGAAGAAGGAAGGGATCCCTAATATGGAGGGAAACTCCCATATTTATAGAGAATAGGGAAAGGGGATGCTCTCCACCCTAATGGGCCGCATGGGCCGGAGTGGGCCCAAATGGCTAAAGTGGGCCGGATGGGCCGAAATGGGCCTAGCTGCTCGGGCTCCGTACTACGTAAAGCCTTGGACTCCTGAACAGTAATAGGCCGGGATAATATATCCCAACATCGTATTTTATATCGGAATAATAAATGTCTTCTAGCAAAATAATAAATTCAAGTGATCTTATTCGTATCAAACGGTTAAGTGCAATGAGTGTTTATTTTAGACGGAGTACTTCTTAGTAAACTTCAATTCCGAGCTAATTATATTTTACCCACAGTAGATATGTAATTCGTCGATGCATGCAACCAAAGAACAAAAGGAAAACTTAAAGCCGCAAAACATACCGGTGCCAGATCTATGACTTGGGTTGTAAATCGGAGTGTTTAAAAGTAAAAAATTGAAACATTCTTAAGCCTTGGTCGACTTTCAACCACGGAAACCTTCATTGCATATTTCCGGAGGTGATTTATTTTGTGATCGTCAACATCATCAGCGTGTGTTGTTGCCGGAGGTCCATGGCGTTGGAGCAGTTGTTGGTGTGTGTTTGAAATAGCATATTGATGGGCGGGGAAATGTATTTTGTTGTATTTTTGAGGAATCTATAGAAGCGGCGGGTGTGAGGAGCCGCCGTGGTATGTGGGATGAGAGGGTGAAGTGTGATTCATTGGGGGGTGGGCATAACGCATAAGAGTTACTGTCGTCTCTTTCTGTTAGGGTTGTGGCTTGAATTAGTTTAACAGACATAAGGTTGATATGGGCCGGAAGCTCGGTATGCCTTTTTTATATGGAGTACCTTAATCGAACTAGGATCACACTTGCCAGTTTTAAATTAAATTTGGGGCAAAGTTGATTTTTGTGTGAGTGAGTATACTAAGAGCCCGTTTGGTGACATTTTTTTTCAACTTATCAGACTTATCAGCCATTATTTTCACCAAACATGTAATTTTTACTTCCACATGTTGAATTGTGTAATAATAAGAAAAAGTAAGGTTGGAGTTACTTTTCTGTCTGTATTGACTGAAGTTACTCCAGATGACCATTTTAACTATTTTTACATATAATGTTTCTTTATTTTAAAAATAAAATATATTTTAAAAATATTTTTTTCTAAAATCAGCAAAATTAGCCAATGCACCCACTTCAGCCAGAACTTCATAAATTTCAGCAGAATCAGCCAAGTAAGCCGATTTCCATGCTACCAAACGAGCTCTAACATTTTAAATTGATTTACACCTCACATCTATTAATCTATTAATATATAAAAGCACACTTCTTTGATGAATAGGGTCCCCCCCCCCCCAAATGTTGACATCATGCTTTTGTTCATTTTTCCATTAAAAAATTGCAAAATCCTTAAACAAATGTCAAAATAAATACAATAATACAAAATAATTAGTCTGTATAATCTAAAGATATTACATCCATCAGAGCATAAAGTTTTGTAAGCAACCAAATATTATTTGTACAAAGATGTAAAAAAGTATTTTGACCATAGTAACTATGCTTAACGTGTCATATTTTCATAAACAACCTTTGTTTTAATCATACTTATGTAATCATTTAAAAATGTTATATACAAATATACCTAAATAACATTATATGTATAAAAACTTATTTGAAGTTTTCTCATAAATTTATATTTAAGTTTAGTTTAGGAAAAATATAACACATTTTCACATATCTACACACCCCCTGATTTGCCAGATTACATCACCAATTCGTCAAAATAATGCAATTCGTATAGATAAAGAAATAACACATTTTCACATTTCCGCACACCCCCTGATTTGCCAGGTTACATCAGCAATTCGTATAGATAAAGATAAAGACATAACACACTTTCACATATCTGCACACCCCCTGAATTGCCATGTTACATCAGCAATTTGTCTAAATAATACAATTCGTATAGATAACGAAATAACACATTTTCACATATCTGCACACCCCCTGATTTGACAGGTTACATCAGCAGTTCGTATAGATAAAGATAAAGACATAACACACTTTCACATATATGCATACCCCCTGATTTGTCAGGTTACACCAGCAATTCGTATAGATAAAGACATAACACATTTTCACAAATCTGCACACATCCCCTGATTCGTCAGGTTACATCAGCAATTCGTCTAAATAACGCAATTCGTATAGATAAAGACATTACACATTTTCACACATGTGCCCCCCCCCCCCCCCCCCCGATTTGCCAGGTTACATCAGCAATTTGACTAAATAATGCAATTCATATAGATAAAGACATAACACATTTTCACATATATGCCCCCCCCCCCCCCCCCCCCCCGATTTGCCAGGTTACATCACCAATTCGTCAAAATAATGCAATTCGTATAGATAAAGAAATAACACATTTTCACATTTCCGCACACCCCCTGATTTGCCAGGTTACATCAGCAATTCGTATAGATAAAGATAAAGACATAACACATTTTCACATATCTGCACACCCCCTGAATTGCCATGTTACATCAGCAATTTGTCTAAATAATGCAATTCGTATAGATAACGAAATAACACATTTTCACATATCTGCACACCTCCTGATTTGACAGGTTACATCAGCAGTTCGTATAGATAAAGATAAAGACATAACACACTTTCACATATATGCATACCCCCTGATTTGTCACGTTACACTAGCAATTCGTCTAAATAATGCAATTCGTATAGATAAAGACATAACACATTTTCACAAATCTGCACACATCCCCTGATTCGTCAGGTTACATCACCAATTCGTCTAAATAATGCAATTCGTATAGATAAAGACATTACACATTTTCACACATGTGCCCCCCCCCCCCCCCCATATTTGTCAGGTTACATCAGCAATTTGACTAAATAATGCAATTCATATAGATAAAGACATAACACATTATCACATATCCGCACACCCCCTGATTTGCCAGGTTACATCAGCAATCCGTCTAAATAATGCAATTCGTATAGATAAAGACATAACACATTTTCACATATCTGCACACCCCCTGATTTGCCAGGTTACATCAGCAATTCGTCTAAATAATGCAATTCGTATAGATAAAGACATAACACATTTTCACATATCTGCACACCCCCTGATTTGACAGGTTACATCAACAATTCGTATAGCTAAAGATAAAGACATAACACATTTTCACATATCTGCACACCCCCTGAATTGTCATGTTACATTAGCAATTTGTCTAAATAATGCAATTCGTATAGGTAACGACATAACACATTTTCACATATCTGCACACCCCCTGATTTGACAGGTTACATCAGCAGTTCGTATAGATAAAGATAAAGACATAACACAGTTTCACATATATGCACACCCCCTGATTCGTCAGGTTACATCAGCAATGCGTCTAAATAATGCAATTCGTATAGATAAAGACATTACACATTTTCACATATGTGCCCCCCCCCCCCCCCCCCCCCCCCGATTTTCCAGGTTACATAAGCAATTCGTCAAAATAATGCAATTCGTATAGATAAAGACATAACACATTTTCACATATCTGCACACACCCCGATTTGGCAGGTTACACCAGCAATTCGTCTAAATAATGCAATTCGTATAGATAAAGACATAACACATTTTCACATATGTGCACACCCCCTGATTTGCAAGGTTACATCAGCAATTCGTCTAAATAATGCAATTCGTATAGATAAAGACATAACACATTTTCACATATCTGCACACCCCCTGATTTGTCAGGTTTCATCAGCAATTCGTCTAAATAATGCAATTCGTATAGAAAAAGACATAACATATTTTCACATATCTTGACATCCCCCCTGATTTGCCAGGTTACATCAGCAATTCGTCTAAATAATGCAATTCGTATAGATGTAATGTCACCATATTATGTAGTAATTATAAAAATTTATACATTCGGTTAACATATATAGACCTTTGATTTGAAAATGAAAAAAAAATCTTTGTCAAACATTTACTTGAATGAAGGATTTTAATAAGGGAAATTTTTTGAATGTGAGTAAATAAGTTTGAGAATTCCAAAATAAGATTGTCATGTTTTTTATTGCCAAAGTAGGCGTAATTAATGTCAAGCCTGAAAAATATTGTCATGCTTAAGGTCCAGTTTTAGAATACATAAAACTTTTTTTGTCCTATTTAGTGTAATTTCCCTTTTAACAAGGGTTAATGCTAGACAGAAGGTACAAAGAAGTGTTTTATAAAATTCGTCATGTAATGTAATTTGTTTTCAAATGATGTTTATATTGCGTGTTACTTACTATTTTGCGGGCTATAAAAAATAATGTACTACTCTGTAATCATTAATAATATGTTTCATTTACGTCAAGATTTATTATTGTATGGAGTATAATTCTAAACAATTCAATTAAAATTACAAGTTTGTTTATTTTTTAATAAAAATGGTCGCTAATGTTAATTATACTCCCGGAATTTCACCGATCATGCATCGCACAGGTATTGATGAAGAAGAAGGAACTACTGAACAAGACTCAAAATGTTGTATTCAAAAAGTGTTTAACAATGTTTAGGGTTACATGAAATGTATATTTACAATGTTATGATTTCTAAGCATTTGTTGGATGTTTTTGATCTTTTAAGTAATGCTTAGTGCTCTCTTTTTAAGTATAATATATATTGTAAGTGTGTGTTGTTTATTGCTTGAATTATATCAATATTCCATGGAGATAGATACTCTCATCAATTGATAGTGTAATTTGAATTAGTGAACACAAAAACATTTGAAGGAAAATTCTCAGACCGTGCATCGCACGGGTGAATTTACTAGTCATCAATAAACAATACAGTTTGTCGTGATTTTATGGAAATGTAACTATTCTAGCAGAGTAGGTTAAATTAATAAGACATTAACAATCTGAAATTTAAAAATATATATATAATAATGTAAGTGAATTGCAGAAATGCTAAAACTAATACTTCATGCGTCCCTATTTAATCTTCTCACTTTTCTTTTTCGGACATCTCTTTAAAAAATCTCATTTTCCTATTTGGTAAATAAAATAGTTCAAAATAGTACAAAAGTTTGTTAAACAGTGTCAGACAATTTCATATTTTTAATATGTGTGGATTTTGGGAATATTAATAATGGTAGGATTGATTAGCAATTAGCACTGAGAATTGTACTTTTTCTCTTCCAACTTATAAGTGTGTACTAACAATTGAGAATTGTACT